CTGCCTTTCGCTTCCATTCCTTTTCTCTCCAGCTTGCCCACTATGTATCTTTCCGTTTCTGTTGCCACCCCCCTCTCCTGTTCTCCTGGTCATTTCTTGGTGGCAGAGCTGGGGAGGGCCCTAGGCTGTCTTTTAGGAGCCCTCAGTCCCCCTTCCCAGGCCCAGCACCCCTCTTTATCCACCTCTACTCCCTCCTGCTGCAGACTCTGTCACAGGGTGTCAGGACAAGATGAGATCTCATATACTTGCCTCGCTGCCAGGCTAAGAACCCAGAGGCCCTGGAGTCCCCAGGGCTCCAGGGATGGCAGTGGCACCTCCCCACCAGGGATCTCATGCCCCTGTGTGCTGGGGATCCCTGTGGTCCCTGAGTAACACTGAGTGGGAACACTACCAAATATTGATACTAGAAACCTAAAATAACTAAACTTTCTACCCTCTGCTGCAGCCAACCCCAAATTAGGTGAGATTCTCGCATATAGCAGGCACAGGAGAAGGGCATGATGGAAAAACACTGAAAAAATTCAGTGTGTTCAACATACCATTCTCAGGTAGTTAGGGAAAGGCTTTTTCAGGTCCCAGGGTGCTTACTTGTAGCTATCAAAGGTAGTGCCTTCCTTCAGCCCTCTGGCATACCTGCCCTGCAGGTCTGGCCTGTATGTCTGAAAGAATCAGAGCTGCACACCAGGCAGCTCTTGGACCAGGCAACTGGACCAGAAAGAGCAGAGCTCTACTGCCTCCTAACTTTGTGGCCTAGGCCTAAGGCAAATGAATTCCCTTTTGGAAGTCTCAGTTATTCTCATCCGTAAAATGGGTAAGAAGTACTTCTTTTGAATGCTGGTATGAGGGTTTCTGAGACCGTGTATAAAGCCTGTGGGCTGGGTGCATGGAAGAGACACACCCCTGACCCCAGGAGCATCCAGATACTGCTGAATGAGATAGAATCACCCTTGACCTTCCTCAGTGATTCTATAAGTCCACCCACAGGTGATCCCAAACTCCTTCTATCTCCACCAGTTGCCCTTTCACACCCTGAGCCCCAGAGGAGACAGCCACAATGTGAGTGCCCTCAAACAGGTCCTTCTAGTTCCAGTGGAACTGCAGTTGGAGCCTGAGCACCCACCCCCTCTAGTCCCCCAACCACATGTGAGGATGTTGACTGTCCAGCTGGAGAAAGTCTAGTTTCATTGTGGGTTTTCTCAGGGACCCTGGAGTACAGCCTTTCACTACACAGTAGAGGAAAATAGACTAGAGAGGACAGGCAATTACCCTGGCCACAGCAGAGTGGGTGGTATGGGAAGCAGCTGAGCTGGCCATATCTGCCCTAGGCTATGTGTGAGGGTGTGATGGTGGCAGCACAGGTCTGATGGGGGTGACAGGCAGCCCCAGGGCCCTGGGACTGAAAAGACTCAGCCTGCTGTGGGTCTGAGCATTGTGTCCCAGCACAGCTCTCCTCTGCTTGCCCACCGGCCTGCCTTCTGTGTTTATTTCCTGTGTGTTTATTGGTCCAATTTTTAAACTCTTGCCTTTGTGGAAAGCCCTTCAGGGGGCAAGGGTCCAAAATAAAACATGATCGAAATGCAGAGAACACTTCTCCTTGGCAATTTCAAGAGTGACCTGAAGGATTGATGGTGCCAGGACGGCAGGAGCACATTGCCCACTTAGCAGTTTTGGTGGCCCCTCAGACATGACCCTGCCAGCATCCCTAGGTGACAGGGACCTCATGGGCATGCTGTGGTACTGCTGTGTCAGGTTGGGCAAGCACCTTTGCCTCTCCAGGCTTCAGTTTCCCCACCTTTCATGACAGCCCTATATAAAAGGTGAGGGGAGGCAGTTCACAGGGTGTGCCCTTCTGAAGCTATTCTGGGCCTGCGGAACACGGCCCTGCAGTCTTACTGCCAGACTCAAGGGTGGCAGCCACACAGGGCAACACCGACCAACTTTCTTCTACCAACATGTTTGAATTCCCTGGGTGTCTCATTGCTCAGCTTCCTGCTCGAGTCAGCTCCATCAGAGGGACTTCAACTCCTGTAAAATCTCAGGCACACCCTTCCTTCTGAAGCACATTCACTGGGGTCTGCATGTGCCACTCCTTGGTCTGAGGCTGTACCACACTGTTGGTCCTTACACACCTCAACTTCTAGCAGGTGAGATGCACCCATGACTGTCTGACCCACAGTTGAACACCCAGAACAGGTGCGGGCCCAAGAGCTCAGGCTGTGGAGCATAGTCTATCTTGGCTCATGTCACCAGAAAGGTCTCGCTTTCAGTTGTTAGTCAGGATTTTGTGTCCTTCTTTTCGGACTGACTTGCCCTCTTTAGTTTTATCTTTTTATCATCTCACTGCTTAACTTTTCTGTTACTTGGCTCAAGTCATTTTTAGATGTGTGCTATGTGTCAGTTACATATCAATACTAATAAATGTGAGGTGCTTCAGTGTTGTTGGCAGGAGATGATTTCTGACTGAGTACGTCGAGGATGGCTTGATGAAGGAGGCGGCCTGTGGGGTGGAAGGTCACAAAGGCTGCTGGAGCAGGAGGCTGGGAGAGTTCCCCAAACAGAGATGGCATCAAGGCAGGAATGTGAGGAGCTGGACAGAGTGAGATAGAATCATTTGGCAGAGTGGTGGGAAAGGTAGGTTGAGGCTAGGTGGCGGAGGCTTCAAATACCAGATTCTTGCCTGTGTAAGGGGCTTACCAACATCTCAGGTGGCCTGTGCCCTTTCTAGCCCCCTCTAATGCCTTAGTCCCCTCTCCATCAGCTCCCACCTTGCCCACCAACCCAGCTCCTCGCTGGGTACTTAAAGTCCTGTTTTCCTCTGCAGGTCCTCAGCCTCATACCTGCACAGGCTTCAGCCACTAGCCCAGTTATTGATCACTGTCAGATGTTTGCTTTTCTGGTGGGTCCCTGGAGCCTGTGTGACTATGGAAAATGGCCAGGTGTGGGTGCAGTGGGGAAGGATGAACCACAGAAGAATCTGGACAGGATGAGGGTGGCTGAAGGGGTGGTGGTGGACAAAGCCTTTGGGGATGACAAAATCTTGCAGTTCCATCACATGTCAGTGACAGCCAAAGTCCTTTCTGGTTAATCAGTCATTTAGTCAATATATAGCCAGGGAGCACCTGTCAGTCCTGAGAAGCCACTGGAGCATTGGAAAGCATGTGGCTCTGCTGGAGTCAGACAGACCAGAGCTCTGGTCTGAAGCCCTCCCTTGTATGGGCTGGGTATTCTTGGGCAACCACAAGCCCCTCATGCCTCAGTTGCCTTAAGGGTTGAAGTATGGATGACAAGAACTGTGGCCTTGAAAGTGGAAACTGCACAGGTGTGGGGAGAGGCTGGAAGGGGTCGGGAAAGGGCCTGAGCTGGGACACAGAGGTGGGCTCTCCCAGCCTGGGCTTCCCCTTCCTGTAGTGAGCCCTCCTCAGGGTCACGATGTGGGGTATATGAATGGGCGGCAGAGCCCCAGGGTGCACAGCTGGGATGGATGGATCTTCGAGACACCAGCAGTGGGAGGGCTGCAGCTCAGCTCCCAGAGGCCATCTTGTCCACCCCCTGGAGTTTGGAGAGATCCAGACTAGCCCTCCCAGTTCCTTCCTTACCTTGCGGGGCCCATATCTCAGGTGGTAGAACAGAAGAGGGAAGGAGACGATGGGGGCACCCTGTTGGTACAAGTGTGAGCAAGTGGCCTCTTCTGAACACAGGCTGAGAGACAATAATGGGGAGCTAGCTTCACACACCCCCATTCCTTCCACCTGCAGCCTGTGCTCAAGCTGAGCCCTGGTACCATCATCCTTGTCACCACCACCTAAGTCCTGCATGTTCTTCAGGGCCCAGCTGTGATAAACCTCATATCCTCAGAGCCACAACATGGACCAGCCCCTCCAGGCTGCCCATGCCATCCAGGGCTTTGGGGGTCTGACTGCCTCCCTCAGACTAGCAGCTGCACAGAACTTGGCACTAGGATGAAGGTGATTGAAATCTCCAAAGACAGAGCAATGAAGGCTTGAGGGTCCTTGGAGGGGAGCATGCTTCCTACTGGGGATCAGAAAAAGCTTCCCAGAGAACGAGGCATTAAATTAGGCCCAGAAGGTGAAGTTGCAAATAGGCAGGACACGGCATTCCAAGAGGACAGAAGTGTAGGAGCCAAGGCCAGGAGAACTCACTCCCTGAGTCCTGCAGCCAGGAGCCCGGTGGGCCACTGTGGGGACTCAGAGGGTGGGGAGAGTTGGAGAGACTCTGTGGTGAGGCATTAGGCCTGGGTCCCAGCTTTCTGGGTGGGAGTACTCTCCACTGATCTAGAAACTCTACTGGGGAGCAGATTCATGAACACTGACAAGTACCGCTAGGTTTGCTGATCACACAGAATTGGGGCTGTGGTGTCTGTACCTGGGGTGTCTGGGGCTACAGGCTGTGAGGTGGATCTCCAGCAACTTCAGAAGCCCTTGCCCACAGACTAGGGACCAGTCATGCTCCGCTTCAAACTGTTCCCAGAGGCCTCAGCCTTGAGCCCCTTTGGTCTCTCTGTGAGCCCCAAGGACAGTTCAGCAAGCCTGGCTTTAATCTCTCATGAGCACTGGGGGAAGTAGTGGCTCAGGATGCAGAGAGTGAGGAGGGCAGTGCATGGTGCATGCCTGGAGTCACACACCTATAAAACATAAAATGTAAAGGAAGTGGGTGTAGCCTTTGGGGCCAATACCAGGCTCCTCTGGAACCCCCTTGATTCCAGAAATGCTGGGAGGACCCGTCAGGAAAGCTCTGGGCAGGTAAGTGGCGGTGAGGAAGCAGCATAGGGTAGCAGGAGTTTCCCTCCTCCCCCAGGCATCTGAACCTCCCTGTGGGGTCCCAGTCAGGTGTCATATGCCACTCTAGCTTCTCGCCTCTCTATCTGAGTCAGGGACATTATGATGGGGTAGGACGGTGGTGGGGCACAGAGGGCTCAGGGTGGAGTCCAGCCAGATATCCTCTAACTGCCCCTTCTGTCCTGTGCTTGCTCTGGGCTATAGGTAAGCAAGAGGATGCTGACAGGGGGCGAGAGGAGCATGCCCAGCCCCCTCCTGGCCTGCTGGCAGCCCATCCTCCTGCTGGTGCTGGGCTCAGTGCTGTCAGGCTCAGCCACAGGCTGTCCACCCCGCTGCGAGTGCTCTGCCCAGGACCGTGCGGTGCTCTGCCACCGCAAGCGCTTTGTGGCTGTGCCCGAGGGCATCCCCACCGAGACCCGTCTGCTGGACCTGGGCAAGAACCGCATCAAAACGCTCAATCAGGATGAGTTTGCCAGCTTCCCACACCTGGAGGAGCTGGAGCTCAATGAAAACATCGTGAGCACTGTGGAGCCTGGCGCCTTCAACAACCTCTTCAACCTCCGAACGCTGGGGCTCCGCAGCAACCGTCTGAAGCTCATCCCCCTGGGCGTCTTCACTGGCCTCAGTAACCTGACCAAGCTGGACATCAGCGAGAATAAGATCGTCATCCTGCTGGACTACATGTTCCAGGACCTGTACAACCTCAAGGCGCTGGAGGTCGGTGACAATGACCTAGTCTATATATCCCACCGCGCCTTCAGTGGCCTCAACAGCCTAGAGCAGCTGACACTGGAGAAATGCAACCTGACTTCCATCCCCACCGAGGCACTGTCCCACCTGCACAGTCTCATTGTCCTGAGGCTTCGGCACCTCAACATCAATGCCATCCGGGACTATTCCTTCAAGAGGTTGTACCGGCTCAAGGTCTTGGAGATTTCCCACTGGCCGTACTTGGACACCATGACACCCAACTGCCTCTATGGTCTCAATCTGACATCCCTGTCCATCACACACTGCAATCTGACTGCTGTGCCCTACCTGGCTGTGCGTCACCTGGTCTATCTCCGCTTCCTCAACCTCTCCTACAATCCCATCAGCACCATCGAGGGCTCCATGTTGCATGAGCTGCTACGGCTGCAGGAGATCCAGCTGGTGGGTGGGCAGCTGGCTGTGGTGGAGCCCTATGCCTTTCGTGGCCTCAACCACCTGCGTGTGCTCAACGTCTCTGGCAACCAGCTGACTACACTGGAGGAGTCCGCCTTCCACTCAGTGGGCAACCTGGAGACACTCATCCTGGACTCTAACCCGCTGGCCTGTGACTGCCGTCTCCTGTGGGTGTTCCGGCGCCGCTGGCGGCTCAATTTCAACCGGCAGCAGCCCACATGTGCCACACCTGAGTTCGTCCAGGGCAAGGAGTTCAAGGATTTCCCTGATGTGCTCCTGCCCAACTACTTCACCTGCCGCCGTGCTCGCATCCGGGACCGCAAGGCCCAACAGGTATTTGTGGATGAGGGCCACACGGTGCAGTTTGTGTGTCGAGCGGATGGTGATCCGCCGCCCACCATCCTCTGGCTATCGCCTCGCAAGCACCTGGTCTCTGCCAAGAGCAATGGGCGGCTCACAGTCTTCCCTGATGGCACGCTGGAGGTGCGCTATGCCCAGGTGCAGGACAATGGCACATACCTGTGCATTGCAGCCAACGCAGGTGGCAACGACTCCATGCCCGCTCATCTGCATGTGCGCAGCTACTCGCCCGACTGGCCCCATCAGCCCAACAAGACCTTCGCCTTTATCTCCAACCAGCCAGGTGAGGGAGAGGCCAACAGCACCCGAGCCACCGTGCCTTTCCCCTTCGACATCAAGACCCTCATTATCGCCACCACCATGGGCTTCATCTCCTTCCTGGGCGTCGTACTTTTCTGCCTGGTGCTGCTATTCCTCTGGAGCCGGGGCAAGGGCAACACGAAACACAACATCGAAATTGAGTATGTGCCACGCAAGTCAGATGTGGGCATCAGCTCCACCGATGCACCCCGAAAGTTCAACATGAAGATGATATGAGCATGGGGTAGGGTTTCCTCCCTAGCCCCGTGCCACTCGTCCCTGGCCCCCACTCCTGCCCTGGGCTGCTCCACTGGCCCTCACTGCCTCCCCTCTCTCCACCAGGACCTCAGACGCCTGGGCCTGGGGAACCCGATGCACAGGGCCACACATGGACATACTAGAGTTGGAAACTGATGGAGCAACATGCAGAAGTCAGTAATCCAATTTAAAAAGTTACAAACTTCCTCTGTAACTTGGGTTTCAATAATTATGGATTTTTATGAAAAATTGAAATAATAAAAAGAAAAAAACTATTTCTATAGCTAGTCGGAATGCAAACTTTTGACATCCTGATACTCTAGGGCCCTCTTCCAACTCAGTTTCTAGTTTTTATCCTCCTCCTTTTCCTCCTTTCTCTTCTCTCCCCCTGTGGGGAGGGATAACTCAGGAAAATGGGAAAGGAGGTTTCAGCCTCATGCACCTGCCCACCCTGCCGGGGCAGCCTCCTGTAGGAGCAGGCAGAGTGGCAGGTGTGGGCTCACCTCCCATCTGGCTGTTTGCTGGGAGCGGGTGGAGGCGACAGGGCTGCCAGATGGGGGCAGAGCTGTCTGCTGTGCTGCCAGGGTTCAGAGGCCTGGTCGGGTGTGGCTGATTCTCTGGACAGGAACTGGGGTCCTCCTGGAGGACAACATAGTCAGCCGGGAAAGCCAGGGGCAGGGACAATGCCTAACTTCTAGTCCCAGCTGTGCCACTGACTTGCTGCGCAGCCACAGACAGGTCATTGACCCTCAGTATCCACATCTGTACAAATGGAAGCATTATTCCCTGCCCTGCCTACCTCACAGGGCTGTTGTGAGGAATTGATGAGATGTATGTGAAACATTTTGTAACCTGTAAAGTGCTGTGCACACATGTGGGTGACTGTTCTCATTATGGTCATTATTATGTCACGGTGGGGGACGGGCCTCGTGAAGGGATCTCCATGGGGTCAGGTTGAGGGCAGGCTGGGGGAGAGCCTGCTCAAGGACTTCCAGAAGCTCCTGTCAGGGCAATGGCCAAAAGCATTGACCAGATTAACTAGGCTTTAGACCCACAGGGGTGTCCTAAGGCTCATGATCATCATGACTTCAACCACCTCTGTTCTGGGGTCCCCCCAGGCAGAATACCCTTGTAGCTTTGACTTGGACCTATCCAGGGGTTGGGAACATCAACTCTTTTCACAAGCATTTATTGAGTGTCTGCCATATGCCACTTCTGGGCATGTAGAGTGCCCAGTCTTTGGGGAGGGGGAAGCAGTTCTGGGGATGACCTTGGGACTTCCCAGACCCAGGTCATCACCCCAACTTTGTGCCATCTTTCACCAGGCCATACTCCGAGCCCATCCTGGGCTGTGAAGGGTTCTGAATTGAGATCCACCTGCACATAAGCTGACTAGGAAGGGCAGACGTGGCCCTACCCATTCACACCAAACCTCAACGCTCCAAACTCAGCCCTGGAAAGGAATGCCCTATCTGGGGGAGACACATATGGGGGTCTCCAATCTCTGGAGTCCCCAACCTCTGGACTGCAGATTGGTACCAGTCTGGGCCTCCTAGGAGCTGGACCAGACAGCAGAAGGTGAGCTTGAATGTAACGTGCTTGAATCATCCTGAAACCATCCTCCCAACCCTGGTCTGTGGAAAAATTGTCTTCCATGAAATTGGTCCCTGGTACCAAAAAGGTTGGGGACTGCTGCCCTGGATGACAGAAGTGCCAAGAGTCAGGCAGGTCACCTTGTCACCTGATCATACGTCTCTGAGGCTCTGGGTCTGGTCTGAGTGACTTCCTTTTCTAACACTTACTAGCCATTTGGGATTATTGCTTAACCTCTCAGATCTCGATCTTCCCATCTGTAACAAAGGTGGTCTTACGTACTTTGGGTTGTTAGGAGATTAAACAAGGAGCATAGGTACATTTGTTGATTGGTGGAATGCCTTGCATTCAAGAAGCCTTCCTGCAGTGGTAAGGATGAGGATTGCTGTTGAGTCCAACCCTGGTACAGATGAAAAGACTGTGGACCAAGAGGTTATTGCTTATTCAGTCAAACAGCTACTGAGTAACAGGACCAGGGCCTGGGAGTTCCAGACTCTCAGAGTCACAGACTTCTAAGCCTGGCTTGGGGCTTCTCAGAGTCAGGCCTAGGGAGCCCCACCTGGCAGGAGACCACTTTGAGGAGCACATGGACAGGAAGAGGATTCCTTGGGCATAGGGGTAGTTTGTATCTAATGAGGCCAGTGGGATATGAGACCCAACAGGCCTGCCCACCTCTGGAGAAACCAGAGAACAGTCTTTCCATTGCCCAGCCCTGGGCATCCTGGACAGCCCTGTCCCCTACAGGAGGCATCTGTAGTTTGCTCCTTAACACTCTGGGACGCCTGGGTCCCTGGGGCTTCACAGGACTCTAGTAAGAGCAGGGGGTTTATGGGGCCAATTTATTCCTGCCTACTGAGACAGAACTGGACCTCTGAGGACACTCTGGGACCATGAAGTGTGAGGTTGTTTTCAGAAATGGGGGGGAATTAGTTTGGGGGGACATGAGTGCCCAGGGTGAGGCTCTGGGTTGGCCCAAGCAGCAGAGCCTGGGGACTGGGCAGAGCCTGGGCTGGGAGCTAGGTGTCCTGGGTTTCAGTACTATCTTTTCCTAGCTGGAGGACCTGCATCCACAGAAGAGGGTAATGAAAACTGCTCTGAGTCCTGCCAGATATATAAGGGGGAACAGCCTGGAAAGCCAGGCTGGAGAGGCTGACTTCTCCATGGCCTGACAGCCTCTGGAGGGGAAAAAGGAAGAGCAGATGCCATCCCACCCCTGCATCCGGCCCTGGCACACACAGCTGGGAGTCTGAACCCAGAGGTGATTGGGCAGGGAGGGCAAAGCCTTCCTGGGCCCCCCACATTCCACACAGTCCCAGTGGCCCTGGTCTGCCTCAGACCCTGTGGGGTTGTGGAGTTGGCATGTCCTGCCACCTCAGGCTCTTTAAGGAACTGCTGCTCTGCCCACCTTTCAGCCTGGGTCCAACTTACTGGGGGAAAGGCAGGATTCCAGAGGCAGCCCATTCTTCCATCAGACAGCATGCCTCCTCTTTGAAGAAAAGGTGATAAGGCTGGGATCCTACCCTGGACAAGCAAGTGGGCCTGGCAAGGATGGCACCCATCAGAGTATTAGAGGTAGCTGCAAGCACCAGCATACCTCTGGTTTACCCCCTCAAAAGTGAGAATCTGAGGCTCATAGAGGGGAAGTAACTTGCTTAGGGTCACATAGCAGAGTAGTGAATAGGGCATGGGCTTGGAGTCAGGCAAACCTCAGTTCAAATCCAACCTCAGGTGTGGCACCTGTTTGGTGTGCAATAATGATCACAGCTATCACCATACAATTCTTATGGGCAAGCAAGGGAATGGTGGTTGATCTCAGGAACTGGCAGGGTTAGGGACTATAGGGGGGACACAGGAGGTCGGATGGTTTTGGGTTAGAAACCAAACCAGGTCAAGCCCTTTATTTCACCACTAAAAGCCTTGGGGCTGAGGGGAAGATGGGAAGTGACTAGGCCATCACTCCTGTCTGCCCAGACAGAAAGATAGCCATGCCCTGGGGCCCTGGAGGACCAAGCCACAACCTGTGCATGTTTGTGGGGGGATGGAGGTCTGAGAGAGCAGGAGAGAAAGGGTGAGAGGAGCAGTGCAGGGCCCTGGCTGGTGTTAGGAGTCCCGGGACCTTGAGCCTTTTAGGGCTCATGAGATACAAGGAACAGGGCAGCACAGACCAGCAGGAGTTCAGTGATTTATTGGGGCCCCCACAGAACCCGGTTCCATGATCTGTCACCTTTTCTGCTTCTCTTCCCAATTTCATGTCCTCTGATGACATGACAGCCTTCCCCAAAGTCACACCCAGCTTCCATTCCAAAAGCCCAGCTCCAGACTTCACAGTTGGGCTTGCTAAAATCTCTTCTCTTCATTCCTCTTCACCAGAGGTGGAAAAAATCTTATTGGCCACCTGTCAGTCAATGGATATTGGCTGCTTCAAAGGCAGGTGCTCATTACTTTATCCAGTCAGTTGAGGCCAAGCAGCTAGACCTTTTCCAAACCAAGTTTGGGTGAAGATGGGACAGAAAGGATGAAGGGACTGTAACAGTTATCTATTGCTGCATTACAACCACCCCAAAATTTAGTGGTTTACAATGACAATCATGTATTTATTCTCAATTTTGCAACCTGGGCAGGGCCTGGGAAGGATAACTCATCTCTCCTCTGCATGGTATTGATTAGGGAGACTTGACTGGGCTGAAAGATCCAGACAGACGTGGTTCCTGGCGATGTCTGTCACTTCAGCTGGGGAGGCTGGAAGGGCTGGAAGCCAGCGGACTTCTCTGCATCCATGTGGTCTCTCCAGAGGGCTTGCTAGACTTCTTTATGGTGTCTCAGTGCTCCACAATGGCAAAATGGAGTCTATGGGGTCTCATGATCCCTAGTCTATGTCACACAGCTCCACGTTCACTGCATTCTGTTGGTCAAGGCAAGTCATAGTCCTTCCCTAGATTTAAGAAGAAGGGGACAGATAGCAGGTCCTGGGGGAGGAGCTACAAAGTCACATGGCCAAAAGGGCAGCCAGAATGTGAGGGCCATTGCAGCCACCTCCACAGGACACCTGTGCTGTCTGTTCCTTTCAGGAACCACTTATTGGTGCACAAGCATAGGGGACTTAGGAAGTGACAGTGACTGGCTTACAGATGGACCTAAGTAGAGAGCCAGGACTTAAACCCAAGTTTGCTGCCCCTGGTGCAGTGTCTTTTCAAGCAGAAGCAGGAAGCGGTGCAGGGTAATACAGCAAAAATAGTAATAGCTGTTGCCTTTCAAGGGCTATGCAAGGCATGAGGCCAGACACTCTACCTGTGTTCTCTGTATCCAAAATGATTTGACTGCAAAAAACAAAAGCCCATTTAAAGACTATCTCTTTTAACAAGGGGGTTATTATGTAAGGATATGATCTCAGGGAAGCTGGTCATGAGAAGATTCTTCTCTTTCTTAGCTCACCTTCTGGCTCCACAGTGGCTCAGGTCACAGGTGCCTTTCTGCAGAGGGAGTGGCTTCCTCTGCTGCCCAGTCAGAGGGTGCCTGACAGGCACAGCTACCCTAAAAGGACAGCTTCAGCTCCCTGCTGTAACTCACTTAGCCTCAGAGTTCAGTTCTGAATTCCCAAGAGAAAATGTGATGAGCCAGGATTAGGGAAGATTGCCTCTTCCAGGCTGTGGGACGGCTGGGGTCTCTAAGTAAGAGTGTGAGT